ACGTCTTACTCAGGATGACCAAAATTAGTAATGTTTGATGTGTTTTGCAGTGTGTAAGCTGGAACTGAATGACCATGGAAATGAAATTTCAACACCACATGTCACATGCCAGGCAAGTCATGACTTCATAGCACATTTTAGTATATGATTTAATTTATTAATTACTAGTATATTTTGGGGTAGTATTTGTTTTATCTTTTTAAGTTATTTGTTGTTTTTAGTGGATTTTTAAAAATCATGCTACATTTTTAACATGATTGAATGAATGATCAAACAAGTGTAACACTGATTTATATTTCTACTTTTTAATTGAAGTATAGTTGATAGATTTCTATTTCTTGTATAGTTAATATACAGATATTAAATGCTATGTTTCCTTGGGCAAGTTGATTACTTTCTTTTAGCCTCAATTCCTCTATGACATAGTATAGTAATAATACTTAACTTTCAGCATTATAGAGGTAACATTACATCATTAATGTGAAAGCACTTTGAAAACTATTTAATTATCATTTTAATTTTTATTCCTCTATCCAGTGAGGCAGTGCTTTAATCACACACGCCCGTACATTTCCCACTAGAGTCCACTTGTCCGGGAAGGCGTCCAGGCTGACAGGACATTTGCAGGAACAGATGTGAATTATTGTAATCCTGGGGCATTGACTTGGTGTCCGGCATTGCCTTTCCCAGCTAATAGCTCACGGCTCAGAGCATTTTGGTTTTAGCTCTTCCGCACTTTGCCTTTGGGCTCGTTCCCTACATGCTGACCCAGCATCCCTTCTGCTCCAGCATCTTGTTGGCTGAGCCAATCATGGCATGTGCTTGGACTGTCCTCTCAAGGCTTCCGTCCTGTCACCTGTGAATTAGATGACTCTAAGGCCTTCCATATCTGACACCAACTCATTTCCGTGCCTGTGTATGTATATATCTGCTGTGCTGATCACTTGTTCTTTATCCACCTTCTCATTCACACCAACTCTTCCTCCTTCACTAAAATGCAGCCACACAACCTTTTGCAAAAACCAGTGCTGAATCCAGATAAGGCTATCGTACAAAATACAGACATGAAAGAGCAGAGTTTCACTCTTCCGTTAGAGCTTGTGAAGAGCTGTTGTAACCAGCACGATGAATCATTCTTGCTCTTAGTTCAAATCCAGACCTTGCCGCTGATATACCTCCTATTGTCTCGATTACTCCGAGTTTTCATCTGTAAATTGGGGACCCTAATGTATCCCACACTGAGCATGTTAGAAAAGTTCCTGGCACAAATCTGGTCCTGAATGAATATTATCATTTCACACACTACTGATTCTGACACCCAGACATCAGAAACCTTGATTGTTTCTTGATTTTGTTTTTGACACATAAAAAGAACATATATTTATCATTTAAACTCATTTGTCCAGTTGAATCTTTCACAAAGTTGCCAGTTGGGGATTATATGATTCTTAAGAAGCATAGAATGTTTTAGTAAATAAGTTAAGACATCCAGTGACTTTCCTGGCTGGTGTGGCTCAGTGGTTGAGCATCGACCTATGAACCAGGAGGTCAGGCTTGATTCCAGGTCAGGGCACATGCCCGGGTTGTGGACTCAAACCCCAGTGGGGAGTGTGCAGGAGGCAGCCGATCAATGATTCTCTCTGATCATAGTTGTTTCTATATCTCTCTCTTTCTCTTTTCCTCTCTGAAATCAATAAAAATCCATATATATAAAAGCCTAAGTGACCAGCTGACCAACTGACCATCCGACCATCCATAGCAATGATGTGCCATGACCACCAGGGGCCAGATGCTCAACGCCTGAGCTGCCAAGCTGTGGTGACTTGGCAGCTGTGATTCTCTGGTGACACACCCGGAACCAGAGAGGAGAGAGCCCAATTCCAGGGTGTGTAACCCGAGAACTGCCCTCTTGTAATCCAGGACCCCTCGGGGGATGTTGGAAAGCCAGTCTTGGCCCAATGCCTGCAGGCCAGGCTGAGGGACCCCACCGGTGCATGAATCCATGCACCAGGCCTCTAGTCCTATCTAATAAAAGAGAAACATGGTAATTAGCTGTAACTTCGCTACCCTTCCCATTGGCTAATTAGGGCGATATGCAAATTAACTGCCAACAAAGATGGCGGTTAACCGCCAACAAAGATGGCAGTTATTTGCATACGTAGGCATGATGGGAGATAAAAGGGGAAGGATGGAAGAACAGTGATCAGAAACCTAGGCAGCAAGCAAGAGCTGGGTGGCAGGGCAAAGGCGGAC